CCACATCAGTTGGAAGAACAGGCATAGGCAAAACCTATACCAGGTAGAAGAAGAGACTTCATAGGCACGGGTTGTACCTGATAGGTACAAGTAAAGCCCAGGCCAGCAGGAAGAACAGGACAATAGGCTGGATCTAGGTGCCTACACTCCCGCAAACCTCAGCTGAGGAAGCCTTTTTAGACCCGACGGCCAGCCAATTACCAGAACCTTTGGCCATTCAGGCCAAAAGACAATAAAGGAAAATGACAGTAAAGGAACAAAAGACCCATCCAATAAAGACATCACAAGAATCAACACATGGGCCTATAATTATCCCAGACCCAGATGGGTAAATGGCAGTGTAAGAATACATTCAACAATATCAAGAGTAATATGGAACCACCAGAACCTAGTGGTTCTTCAACAGCAAGACTGAAACATCCCAATGCAGATGAGGCAGAGGAAAACAACCTTAAAAATAACTTTGTGAAGATGATAGAGACCCTTAAAGAGGAAATGAAAAAAATCCCTTAAAGCAATTGAGGAAAAGACTAGCAAAAAATTGGAAGAGATCAATAAATCCCTCAAAGAAAACCAAGAAAGCCAAGGGGAAAAAACAATCAGGTGAAGAAAACAGTTTAAGACTTGAAAATTGAAATAGAGGCAATAAAGAAAAACATAAACCAAGGGAATTCTGGAAATGAAAATCTGGGTAAATGAATAGGAACTGCAAGTATAACCAACAGAATGCAAGAGAGGGAAGAGAGAATCTCTGGCATTGGATATAGGAAACAAATTAATCAGTCAAAGAAAACATTAAATCCAACAAAATCTTAACACAAAACACCCAGGAAATCTAGGACACCATGAAAGCACCAAACCTAAGTGTAATAGGGATAGAAGAAGAAGAATCCCAGCTCAAAGGCACAGAAAATACATTCAACAAAATCATAGAAGAAAACTCTCCAATCTAAAGAAGGATAAGCCTATGAAGATACAAGAAGCTACAGAACACCAAATAGATAACCAAAAGATAAGTCCCCTCACCAAATAATAGGCAAAACATATGGACTAAAGAATATTGAGAGTTGCAAAGGAAAAAGGCCAAGTAGCATATAAAGTCAGGCTTCCTATCACCTGACTTCTCAGTGGAGACTCTGAAAGCCAGAAGGTCCTAGAGAGATGTTCTGCAGACACTAAGAGGCAACGGATGCCCCCCTCCCGGGATTACTGTATCCAACAAAACTTTCAATCACCATAGACAAAATGAGATATTCCATGATAAAACCAGATTTAAACAATACCTATCCACAAATCCAGCCCTACAGAAAGTACTAGAAGGAAAACTCCAACCCAAGGAAATTAGCTCCACCCTCAAAATGCAAGTAATAGATAATTCCACACCAGTAAATCCCAAAGAAGGGAAACACACACATACTACCTCTACCACCAAAACCCCCAAAATAACAGGAATTAACAACCACTGTTCTTTAATATTCCTTAGTATTCATGGACTTTATTTGCTTATGAGAAGGCTAACAGAATGCATGTAAAAACAGGAACTGACCTGTTGCTGCATGCAAGAAACACACCTCAACTTCAAACACAGACATTTCGTCAGAGTAAAGAATTTTGAAAAAAATTTCCAATCAAATGGACCTAAGAAGCAAGCTGGCATAGCTATCCTAATATCTAACAGAATAGACTTCAAACTAAAATTAATCAAAAGAGATGAAGAAAGGCATTTCATATTCATCACAGGAAAAATTCATCAAGATGAAGTCTCAATTCTGAACATTTATGCCCCTAATATGAGGGCACCACATTTGTAAAGGAAACGTTACTAAAGCTTAAATCACACATCAAACCCTACACACTAATAGTGGGAGATTTCACCACCCCACTGTTAGCACTGGACAGGTCTGCCAGACAGAAACTTGCCAGAGAAATAAGGGAACTAACATGTTATGACTCAAATGGGCTTAACAGACATCTGCAGAACATTGCACCCAAACACAAAAGAATAGACTTTCTTCTCAGCACCTCATGGAACCTTCTCCAAAATTGACCACATACTCATCACAAAGCAAATATCAACAAAAATTGGAATAATTCCATGTATCTTATCAGATCACCATGGCTTAAAGTTGGAATTCAACAACACTAATTACATAAAAATACTACAAGCTCATGGAAACTAAACTATGTTCAACTGAATCACCACTAGGTCACGGAAGAAATAAAGAAAGGTATTAAAGACTTTCTAGAATTCCATAAAATGACTGTACAACATACCCAAACTTATGAGAAACTATGCTAAGAGGAAAGTTCATAGCACTAAGTGCCTACATAAAGAATACGGGGAAATCTCACACTAGCAACTTAACAGCACACCTCAAAGCTCTAGAAAAGAAGCAAACTCACCCAGGAGGAGTAGATGACAGGAAATAAGCTGAGGACTGAAATAAACAAATAGCAAAAAAGAGAACAATATCAAGAATCAATGAAACAAAGAGTTGGTTCTTTGAGAAAATCAACAAGATAGACAAATTCTTATCCAAACTAACCAAAAGGCAGAGAGGGAATATCTAAATTAGCAAAATCAGACATGAAAAGAGGGGCATAACAACAGACATCGAGGAAATCCAGAGAATCATCAGATCATACTTCAAAAGCCTGCACTCCACAAAATTGGAAAATCGAAAAGAAATGGACAATTTTCTAAATAGGTGCCAAATACCAAAATTAAATCAAGACCAGATAAACAATTTAAATAGACATATAACCCCTAAGGAAGTAGAAGCGGTCATTAAAAGTTCCCACCCCCCAAAGGTCCAGGGCCAGATGGTTTCAGCAAAGAATTCTATGAGACTTTTAAAAAAATATCAATACTCCTCAAATTCTCCCATACAATAGAAACAGAAGGAACATTGCCAAACTCTCTTTTATGAAGCTACAGTTACCCTGATACCCAATACACACAAATATGCAACCAAGAAAGAGAATTACAGACCAACATCCCTCTTGAACATTAATGCAAAAATACTCAATAAAATACTGGCAAATTGGATCCAAGAACACATCAGAAAAATCATCCACCATGATCAGGTAGGCTTAATTCCAGAGATGCAGTGTTGGTTCAACATATGGAAATCTGTCAATGTAATCCACTATATAAGCAAACTGAAAGAAAAAAAAAGTATGATCATCTGATTAGATGCTGAAAAAGCCTTTGACAAAAATCTAACACTCCTTCATAATAAAGGTCTTGGAGAGATTAGGGATACAAAGAGCATACCTAAACATAATAAAAGCAATATACAGAAATCTGGCAGCCAACATCAAACTAAATCGAGAGAAACTCAAATTGATTCCACTAAAATCAGGAAGAAGACAGGGCTTCCATTCTGCCCATATTTATTGAACATTGTACTTGAAGTTCTAGCTAGAGCAGTAAGACAACAAAAGGAGATCAAGGAGATACAAATTGCAGATGATATGCTAGTCTACATAAGTGACCCCAAAACTCTACCCGGGAACTCCTACAGCTGATAAACACCTTCAGTAATGTGCCAGGACACTAGATTAACTAAAAACGTAGTCCTATATACAAATGATATAGAGAAAGAAATCAGATCAACAAACAGCACCTTTCACAATATCCGCAAACAACATAAAATAACTTGGGGTAACTCTAACCAAACAGGTGAAAGAATAACAAGGCTACAATCCACAGATCCAGAGAATCTAGGTAAAAAGCGAGACACTAAGAAGGACGCATGGATCGCCCTGGGAAGGGGAAATAGATGAGATCTCCTGGGTAAACTGGGGGCAGGATGAAGGTTGAGAGGGAATGGGATGGTCAATTTGGGGGAGGGGTGGAGAGGGAGAGCAATGAAAGAGATATCTTGACAGAGAGAGCCATTATGGGGTTGGGGAGAAACCTGGTGCTAGGAAAATTCCCAGGAATCAACAAGGATGACCCCAGCTAGGATTCCTAGCAATAGGGGAGAAGGTGCCTGAACTGGCCTTCCCCGGTAATCAGATTGGTGACTACCCTTAAGTATCGTCACAGAACCTACATCCAGTGACTGATGGAAGCAGATGCAGACAGAGATCCACAGCCAAGCACCTGAGTGAGCTCTGGGAGTCCAATTGTAGAGAGGAAGGAAGGACTATAGGAGTAAGTGTGATCAAAATAATGATGGGGGACCCACAAAGAGAGATGAGCTGAGCTCATGGGAGCTCACGGACTCTAGACCAACAGCTGGGGAGCCTGCACGGGATGGAGCTGGGCCCTCTGCATGTGGGGGACAGTTGTGGGCCTTGGTCTGTTTGTGGGATCCCTCACAGTGGAACCCGAGACGTCCCCGGTGCATGAGCTGGCTTTCTGAACCTATTCCCTGTGGGGGGGGGGGTGCCTCACTTAGCGTGATGCAGAGGGGAAGAGCTTGTTCCTGCCTCAGCTTGCTGTGACACGCTTTGTTGACTCCCATGGGAGGCCTTACTCTTTCTGAGGAGTGGATGGGGGGGGGTGGCAGAAAGGAGGTGGGGAAGAGAACAGGAGGAGAGGAGAGGAGGGAGGGGAAACTGCGGTGGTGCATGCCTTTAATCCCAGCACTCGGGAGGCAGAGGCAGGAGGATCTCTGTGAGTTTGAGACCAGCCTGGTTTACAAGAGCTAGTTCCAGGACACAACCTCCAAAGCCACAGAGAAACTCTGTCTCGAAAAACAAAAATAAATAAATAAATAAAACATTTAATAAAAAAGTAGTTGATGACTTCATAAAACACATGGGTTTGCTTTAGGTAGGAAGCAATGGGAAGGACTGTATCAGTTAAAGTGTGAGTGTTGGTAGGAGCTGCCTTGTTTTTCACCGAAGGGTGTTTTTTCAGATGAGGGAATGGAAGCTGGTAGGTACTGGCATGTATTTGTGTTGTACGCCTTCCAGAAAGGCATGGAAACTAGAAAACATCACGTGTGTTTGTGCTGAGCAACTTCCAGAAATTTTTAACGGATGATTCTTTGCACCATTCTTTCCACAGGGAGCTGATATTTGAGGAACCATTTTCTTTAGTTCAAGAAAAATATGATGTATCTCTCTCAAGCATCACTCTTGTTCTTAAATGTATGTATTTTCATTTGTGGAGAAGCTGTACAAGGTATCTGTGTTCATCATTCTACGGTAAGAATTTTAGCAATATTATTTTAGGTAAGAAAGCCATTTTAACTTTCATGATGTGTTAGAAGCTTGAAAATATAAATTATACAACAAATATAATTTAGGTAACAACTAAAATATTTGTCTCAAAAAGTTGAGACTCCTTAAATATTATATTTTAAGACAAAAAAACTATAAATTTAACATCAACTTTTAAAGAAAGCTCTCAATTGTATAGATACTTTAATTCCCAGCTTTCCTAGTATGTTTGATAATTAAACATCTGATGGGTAATAAAAATTACTCTTTAAAAGAGAAAGTTAGTCTGTAAATCCTGACATTTCAAATAAAGGTTTGTAGGTGGTTAATTAGGATGCAAGAATATCTTATCTAAAACAATATTAGAGTGACAGCTAGTATGGGATGGGCAATGCTATGAATAGCTGATGATTTTAGTGCCCATATATTCAAGTGTTGGCTTACATTCTTTAAATGTTAAAAATGTATTTACTGCTATATCAAAACTAAACACTAAGGTTCTGTGGTTCAAACAAGAAAAAAATTCCAAGACAGCTGCATAGTACTAATAATTTAATTCTTTAATACACTTACTAAAATTTAAGAGCCTCACTGAAAGAGGATATCTATAACACTTTTAAAAAGCATCGAGTATATCAATAATTATAGAGGAGTAGAGAAAGAGCAAGTTTTCTCAAGGGCAAATATCTTTGTAATATAGTTAGCTTCATACCAGTCTCTCAGTGTCTAGGAAACCCACAAACCTGTTACACCTTTCAGGAGGACTGTTAAATAGGCAACTTCAATAAGACTGTCTTGATAATGAAGAGACCACTTGCATTCAAACAGATAGAGATACTTTGTGATGTCAGGTGTTATCATCCTTTTAATGATATGTTACTGATTTTTGCAAAGAAAATTCCGTAATTTTAAATTTTACCAATGATAACATTAAATCCATGAGCAGTTATCTTTTCAAATTGTTTTATATAAAAGCAAATCTTCCTAGACATCGTTTTCTACAATTTTAAACAGTAGGTGGCTGAAAGTTCATTTGGCTAGAGGTACTGGGTATATATCTGAGGAATTTCCTTAGCCCTTTGCAAGGGATTGTTATGTCCTGTCAAGTGTGAATTTGTAGGAAGTAAAGGTCAAATTCATGGAGTCATAGGTGTGGAAGCAAATCCTAAGAAAATTAGTTTGGAGTTTGAGAGGAAAAAGATAATGCAAGTGCTGAATTATTATCATATGCTTACTGACCACAACTGAACTGTACCATTAAACTAATCAGCTCAGCATATATTTTAAGTGATGGTCTTCATTGTATAGTTCAAGTGCTGGTCTGTCTTCTGTAGTTTTCTTACTGTGTAGAAGGTCTGACAGCACATTTCCACACATTATTCTCATTCCTATCATACAACTTGAAGGACTCTCTCACAGGCAACAATGTGGAAGACAACGCTAGTCTCAAAGATGAAAGCCAAACTGTGTACAAGGAAGTCTGCCAGGAGTCGCGCGATGCTAAGACCAGAGCACCTCGAGAAGAAAAACATTTTATGTGCAGTAAGCATTAAAAATTACCACAGTTATAAAGAGATCAAATTTTGGCACAGAATAATATGCCTTTGATTTATATGGGTTATTTTTTAAACACCTCATGCAAGCCAGATGCTTTGTGTTTGACATTGAATATGTGCTTATAGATACTTGTTAAGTCAGTGAGTCTTCCTTCCAGAGTTCAGTGGTGTCTATTATGAGCACTCTTTCCCTCCAGACTGGTCTCAAGAGCTGTGCCAGCCCCAAATGAACACACAGATGCTATATTAGTTATGAAACTCTTGGCCAGTGACTAGGGCTTCTATTGGCTATCTCTGTCTTAATTATCAACCCATAACTACTAATCTATGTATTTCCATGTGGTCTTGGCTTACTGGAGAATGCCTGACCAGCAATTCCTTTGACTACTACATGGCGACTGACTTCTGCCTACACCTCCCAGAATCCTCCTCATCTCCTAGACCCGCCTATCTTGCTGTCCTATTGGTCAACAGTGTTTTATTCATCAACCAATAAGAGAAACATATGTACAGAAGACATCCCCATCAGGTGTCTATAGACCATAGAAAGAAGGGAAAACCAGTGGATCCTGATAATATAAATACATTAGTTTTTGAGGGGCTCTTTTACTTACTGTTTTTGAGTCCTGGAAATTTCACCTTATTCCCCCCACCAGGGTTTTTCTAAAAACAAACACATTATTACTGAAAAGTACAGTAACTGATGCAATAAATACAAAACAAATCTAGTCATTTAATGTAGGAAGGGATCACAGGGTTTTCATTTCAACGGAAGAGTGATTTAGTCATAGTGTAGTAATTCCTATCATTGATTATGTACATGGGCGGCAGTGAGGAAAGGCAACTGGGGTGGGTGGAGCCAGTAACTTGACCCAGTTCCTATGGGACAGTCACTTATAGGCTAGAGCGTGGCTTACATTTGCTTAATTCCTGTTTATCCTAAGTGTCCCAAGCTCCAACCCACAGATTCACTTTGGTCTCATTAAGATGGATTTGTAAGTTCAGGGGAAAACTAAGAAGAAGCTTGAGACTAAAAATAAAGATGAGAGGTGAAGCTGGACAAAATAGATTCAAAACTGATAGAAATTATTAATGCCATTCTACTGCTAGGATGAAAGGAACTTAGAGAGAAATACCATTTAAAAAGGTATTCATGAAATAGCACGTGGGCCTTTTGCTGCAGAGGACATCATTGACATCGTAAGTAACACTTTGTCGGCCTGAGAAGGAGAGGCAGTTGATTTTTACTTCAAAATACTTTATGTGCATGAGTGTTTTGTCTCTCTGTGTGTATATATGTACACCACACGTATGCAGTGCCTGAGGAAGTCAGAAGCCTTTGGATCTCTTGGAGCTGGAGTGATGCCTGGCTATGAACCACTGTGCCAGAACCAAACCTGAGCCCTCTGCAAAAGAAGTCAGTGCCAAACTTTAACCACTGAGTCATCTCTGCAACCCTGAGAACTTTTATTTCTTGTTTTTTTTTTTAGTGTTAAAAATATTAGAGACTATGGGACATGATGGCAACATGATTTCAAGTGCCTTAAGGGAAAATAGTTTTAGTATTTGTGCAGCCTTTTAAAAAATAAGGAATACTGCATATTTTCTATGAAATGAAAGGGAAATGCATTGTGCAAGTTCAGCCAGAAATGAACAAACCAGAATCTTAATGTTTTTTTACATTTTTGATGTGTGTGCGTGTGTGTACATGTGTCCCCACATTCCAGGGCACACACGTGGAGGCTAAGGGCAGTGTTTAGGAGTCAGTTCTTTCCTTTCGCATTATGGGTTCCAGGAATTGAACTGAGATTTTCAAGATTGCTGGCAGGTGCCTTACCCACTGAGCTATCTTGCTGGCCTCCAAAGCTTTGGTTAATATTTATTAAGTGTATGTATGCTAGCAACTTGGTTATATAAACTATAGAACTGGAAAAAATAAGACAGATTTATTTTTTAAAATTAACCAGAATGATATGCAAGTAAATTATTACTTGCATTTTGTTTTATTGTATTATAAGGGCTAAGCAGGCTAATACGGGTCACACGTGTGTAATCCTAGCATTTGAGAGTTTGAGAGATGGAGGCAGGAGGTCAGGAAGGAGTTAAAAGCCAGCCTGGGTTACTTGAGACCCCGTCCCCCACATTCTATACGGTCCTGCCTCTAAACATCTCATAAAGTGAGAGTAGGCATTAAGAACATAGTTTCTTAATCAAATGAATAATTTGGGGGAATCCATATTATCAGGAAACACAATTCCATTAGGAATGTTGAAGCAATTTCTTTTTGGCCAATCCCATTTTAAACAAATATATACTAACTAAAACATATAGTTATACGTTCAGATAAATTGAGATACTATTCTTTATTTATTCCAAATCATGTGAAATTCATTGTTTTTACTGTAATTGTTTCATATAAGAATGCCATTTTCTTTCTGATTAAGGAAACCTGCAAAATTCTATTGTTTCCTACACAAGAAGTACCAAAAAATTGCTGAGAGATATAATGGGTGAGCAGCAAGCGTCTCTGGATTATTTATCTAGCCAGGTATGGAATTCTTTTGGCATTTCAGTGCATTGCATGTGCATATTGGCACAGCTGGCTGGAAGTACAATCACGTTATTTTATGCATTAATGTTCAATACCTATGGTGGAGAAGCATGTAACACACAGCAACAAAGCAGACCTTTGTTCAAGGGTGCGCAGCCTGGGAACGAGAAAACAAACATAGAAAAACAGAAAATCTGAATGCTGTCAGAATGACAGGGCAAGTCTCTCAGAAGAGAGAGCCTGTGAGCTGAGCAGAGAGATGAGTAAACGCTTTAAATGTCACCAGGTTGGTAAGGCAGGGGCAGCGTTCCCTCTGGGCTACTCACGAGTTGGTGCCGGAGTGGGAGGGCTGGTGAGGTTGGGAATGTGTAAGGCAACCTGACTGAAGGAATCAGGAACTAAATTTCTTTGGACCGCAGATCACTGAATCACGAAAGCAAGGAAATGCCGTCACCCCCTTAGCAGCTGGTGAGGAGCACGATTAGGGCAGAGCAGAGGGAGGCGGCAAGGAGCCCAGCAGCGCTTTCTGGACAGGGGCAGACAACCCAGAAGTAACGGCAGACAGAACTAGCTTGTCGGAGGTGCTGCAGGGTGGAATGGTTGCTATATGTGTCTTTATTGTGCTAGAACAGTCAGAGTCCACCCTAGAAGACAGGACACCCTGCTGTAGAGAGGCTTACAGACAGCATTTATATCATGTAGCTAAGTATGACCTTGCCTCGTGTGCCTGTGTTTAGGTTAATGAACTCATGAATCGAATTCTCCTTCTGACTACAGAAGTCTTTAGAAAACAGCTGGCTCCTTTTCCTTCCCGGCCCGTTCAGTCACATGGTGAGAATACTGCTATTTCAGCCTCTTCACACTTCTGTTTTATCACTCAAAATTCTCTGGACAGCTTGCTGCATTGAAAAGTTTTAGAATACACTGCTCACTTTTTCCTAACTGTCTGGAGGACTAGTCCCTGCTCAGCCACGTGTCCGTCCTAAACTGAGGAACTTTCCACTGTTTGAAAGCTGTAAAATAATAGCAGAAATCTGTTGAACATCAAGTAGCTTTAGGCGCTGTGTTCTGAACACCCCACACTGGTATTTTTTTAATAATTACTTTTGACACAGAAGAGGAGCTCAAGAGCCGCTCCCACCTGTGAAAAGTGAGTTTTCTTTTTGACATGTTTCAAAGTGGGATGTAACATTTAATAGGAAAAAGAAATAATACCGAAATAGATACAAAGTTAACTTTTTTGCACTAAAATACAACATTTATTTCTACATGCTTGTGCTTCTAAGAAAGTGCTGTGTAGATTGTACAAATGGACATTTATATAAAAATTGCAAGCAAATGAGTATTACTGAAGTGCAAGTAGGTTTCTCTTAGAAGGTGGAGGGAGCAGACAGATTACCTTCTTGCTCTTTGTGAGGATAGGCACTATCATATGATACTTTCAAATGACTTGTCCTGTCGTTCTCAGTGGTAGAACCAAGTGTAGCAGAGCATGTATGTGTGTGTGCCTGTGTGAGCTTATGTGCATCTCATGCATCCAGGGGACCAGAGAGTGTTGGATCCCCTGAACTGAAGTTACAGACAGTCGTGAGTCACTAACCGGGCGCTAGGAACATAACCTGGGGGCTTGTGCAGTAAGGGCTCTTAATTGTTAAGTTATCTCTCCAACCCCACAATATGAGACTTTTAAACACTAAAAGACATTCATTGTGAGGGTTTACTGCAGCCCAAATTCTTTAACTCCTGTCCTTTCATTTATTTTCTCTTGAATTCTAAAACTGTGATAACTTCATTTCTAAGAAGCTAAAGTCATGGCATCTCTAGTAGAAGTTGTAGCAGCAATTTCAGGCAGCATTACCAATTCTCTGCTGTTAAGTGATTGTCTTAGGTACAATTAGCGCACACTAAATGACTCATTTTATTTGTCTAGGTTTGGATTGCACTGATATTAAAGATTCAATTGGCTCTGTCACCAAAACCCCTAGTGGTTTATATGTAATCTTTCCAGAAGGATCTAGCTATCCATTTGAGGTAAAGTTTTCCCTTGTTGTAAGAATAAAACAAACATCAAGCTAACTTAATACTGAAATTATAATTATTTTAATATTTATTTAAAATATTTTTGTCTTTAAAAATTTAGATTAATTAGCAAAATTTGTAGTTTGAGAAGTTTGGTTTCCTTTACATCTTAAGCTCAGACTATGAGTTTCAGTTTTCTATCTGAGTTTCCAGAGTTATACTATTTAAAGTATATCCATTTGTTACAAGGTTTTATATTATCCTTATGAGGGCAGAACTGTGCAATATAAATACTTTCTTTCATTAGTAAACGAGACCAGACAGTCATGATGTGCTGTGACGTGGAGCTTACTCCAGTACTTTTTATTTCGCTTCCTGCTTACGGCTATACCTTCTTTTGATGGTAGATTATTTTACAATGAGAGACTTTGTTTCAAAAATTAAAAAGAAGTGAATAAAAAGTCTTTTACTTGGGTATAAGGAAGATTGATAAACTGACCCATGCTTACTGGGGATAGTATGAACTATGCTTTGCCTATCCTTAGTATCTGGCCGCTTGTATTTCTAGTGCAAACATTGCTTATAGACAGAAAAGATAATGTGTGTGTACACATATTTTCCATGTACTTTCTCAGTGTATAAAAGTTTTATGATCCTTAGACTTTATCAAAAGTCTGTTGTACAACAACAACCTTTCTTTCTAAGTAGATGTAAAGAATTTCTGTGCTTAGCAGTATTACCATAATTTCTCTTGAAATCTATTGACAAGTTGCCAAAAAATTAGGACTAATGTGGGAAATAACTTAAAAACTACCTAAGTCTTTCTGCCTACACATTCAAAACTAGATCTGAGAGCTGTAGAAGGGAAGGCTTCTAACTTTGCAAGGAGTGGGTTGCATAATTCCTTCTCCTGTGGAAAGAGCTGGTGCCCGAGCTTCCTCCACATTGCTTTTCTTTTCTGTCTCTGTGTGGGAAGTCTCTGGGAGAGTGGATTACTTTTATCCCCCCCCCCCCCGTTGTTTCTGTGTGCCCCAGGTGGGTGCATATCACACAGTTTCAAAAGTGGTCCCATGTGAGCCCCTGCTGAGTGGATACAGCTCAGGCTTTTCTGTCTTGAAATGTCAATCTCAACACCAGTTTGTGGGAGAAAAGAGAAACCAGAAGCAGGCAGTTAAACATATTTAACTCTAAAAAAAACCCGGCATCATAATTCAAAGAACAGAAAAAAACCGGCATCATAATTCGAAGGACAGAGTCTCAGCATTATAACCAAAAAAAACAAATATGTAAAGCCATCCATCTCTGCCATAGCATGCCGGCACTGCTATTTGTGAACGGGGAAAACGTGTTCAGAGTCCAGGAATAATATGATAACGTTAAAATACTACAAATACTTGTATCTTTTAAAAAGTCACCCATGCAAGACTGCAGTTAGGTTAGTAACAGGTTTGTCTAAATAGTCGTATTTTTGGAAAGTTACAAGTATGAATGCATTCATGGGAATGAAAACTTTCTTGTGTTTATTTTTCTATAGGATTGTGAGTGAGTTCTATACTGTTAAGTACTGAAAACAATGATGTACTGTTTTGGCATTTTCTGGGCCCATTTTAGGTAATATGTGACATGGATTTCAGAGGGGGAGGATGGACGGTGCTTCAGAAAAGGATCGGAGGGACAGTTGACTTCCAGAGGCCGTGGTGTGATTACCTGGATGGATTTGGAGATCTTTTAGGTCAAATTTTATGTATTTATTCTTTGACTTTTCTCTTTCTATTTCAGTTAGGACCTAGAAATCTGGGCTGGAGACCTCTGTTAACAATTAATATCACTGGCTGCTCCTCCAGAGATCATAGGTTCAATTCCCAGCTCCCACATGGCAGGTCATACTGTCTGTAACTCCTGTTCCTTGGCATCCAAGCCTTCTGGCTTTTATAAGCCCAGGCACACAAAAGGTGCATAGACACATATGCAAAACAACCATAAACACACCTTAAAAAAAAAAGATCTAGAAATTTTTAGAGATGAACTGAAATGTGATCCAAGTGAAAATTCTCAGTTTGACATTTGTTATCTATACCCAGTAGTTGTGACAGGTGCTTCCCAATTGTTTGTGGAATGGGGAAAGAAAAAAAAAGGAGGCAGAGTTGTCACAGATTTAAGATACAATAAAATATGGATAAAATATATGACCATTACAGTCAAGCATTTGAATTGAATGTAACTTTGTGAAACTATGATGTACATTATTATTCTCTAAATTCGGAGAGTTTTGAAGAACAAGATCTATAGGCGAACACCATTTTTGCAAACCGAGACTATTTTATATTTAGTACAATTCAAATATATTGGGGGTTTAGTAAAATGAGCTGTTAACTCTTAAACATGAGACCAGAGAACAGCTGAAAGGAGCTTAAGCCATGTGAGGACCCTGAGCCATAGCAGCTCCTGGAGGGGCCCTTCCTATCACGTGTCCACGCTTTCCCTGTACACACTCTTTCCAGTTCTAACCCAGTGGTGGCTAAAATATCCATGGAAAAGACCGTAATATCTTAGTCAGAGCTTTCTGAGTTTTAGTACTGTCTATCTCATTATCGTCTAACCCTCTGAAATTTTATACCCCGTAATTTCATAATTTAAGTAGGTTGTATCTCAGGAATGTCCACATTACCGTAGTTCACTGTAGATATGAGAAAGCAGAAAGCCAGCGGCTGTAGTGTGCATGCAAGAGCACTGCCTGGATTAGGAGCTGTTAATATAATCCACCTTACATCTACAGTTGTCTTGGAAATCGTGACTGCAAATTCAAGGAAGCTTCAATGTTGCTGTATTTCGCTTCCATTTTCGTAGGCAAATGACAAGCTGCTTTTAAAGAAAGAAATGGTTATTTGTAAGGATTTTCCAAGGCAGAAAAAGTAGTTTCAGGTGAGTGCTTTCAGGCAGTGTTTCTTAAGGAGCAGCTGATTTGAGATTAAAACTACATTTACTGGGTCACATCATTGGTCAGTTGCCACAAGATTTCAGCAAGTTTTCTGTTGATACACTGTAAAGGTAAAACTTGGTCTTTTATTTAGTCTTTAAATACACTTTTAAGTTGAATTTGGGGAGATAAAAATGAAGCAGTTTGATTCTGTTCCCTCTAGTGAATTAATAAGATAAGTAAGTTAGATAACAGCTGATGGTTGAGTTGAGTCAAGCCGTCTAGTGTCCTGGTTATTGGTGAGTCTCCTCAGCTATGGAATTCTGAATAGCATCAACATCCACTAATGAAAGATTGTTCTAAATGGAAATAAATGTGTTAAAACAAAGCATTTCTTTTATAGGAGAATTTTGGCTAGGACTGAAAAAGATTTTTTACATAGTAAACCAGAAAGATTCCAGTTTTATGCTTCACGTGGCCCTGGAGTCTGAAGATGACACCTTGGCTTATGCTTCATATGATAATTTTTGGCTAGAGGATGAAATGCGATTTTTTAAAATACACTTAGGACGATATTCAGGAAATGCTGGTAAGTCTTTAATTACTAAAAGGACACAAAAATTGAGCTATTATTTGCCTAGTATTACATAAAGATAGAAATAATGCAGGATATAATGATGACATATAGCTGATGACGATAAATTAGAGAACAATGTGTAAGTCTGAAACTCTGTTGTGAGCACTTTGCTTAATGATCTTGGAGTGTTTATGCCTTGTGGATGGAGACGCTGGGGCAGGCTGGGTAAGCAGCACTCCTAAATTCATGCTCAGGGAGTAAGAGCCTTCTAACTTTGTCAGTGAAGAAACCTGAAGGAGGAAGAGTCTGGCCCAAGACTTCTGTGAATCACACCTCTTCCATCCAATCCCAGCCCACATAGACACCAAGACAAGTTCGTTTTCCCCTCTCTCTTGATAGGTTTCCAAAAATTTAACTCATTAGAACTTCAGAATACTTGATGATAAGTTTATATTTTGGAGCTGAATTTTTAATGACATTTCAGTAAAGAAATGCTAAATTCCATTTCCCTGTTTTTTCCTTTATTGTGTACTTGTTGGATATATTGGATATACAATTAGTGTTAGAAAGTCACAATGATTTGGCTGTCAACTAATCTTGGTACAGAGGCAACACAAATGACACTAAAAACACAGACAACTGGTAGACCTTTAGGTTTAAAGAGAACTTGAGAGTGATTACAGCCTGGAGATGTCTGTGGGAGGATGGGTAGGTTTCAGAATGAGATGAACCTTAGAGCTTTTTGAAAATGCATATTCATGCAGATTCTATCTAGTTCAGTCACTTCAGGTCAGGTGATTGTGCTTGCATCCTGAGAACTGTGCACTCAGACCTGGAAGAAAAGATGGGCTTTTGGCAAGCGAATGTTGGCAAATGGGGCAGCTTGTGTCACAGCATGAAAGAGGAGATGGCTGGCAGGGGGCCTGCTTGGTGTGGCTGGAACTCATGGCATATTAAGAGGGTTGATCTTGAGACCTTAGGTGAAAGTTAAAATTCAAGTATTGATAGATATGGAAAGCTTAAAGGGTGATTGATAAGGCTTTCAGTGTTTACTTGCAAGAGAGTAAAGAATTGCCTTTGCATGGAGCATGCATATTAGGAAGCATATGTGGAGATCTCCAAAAGATGACTATGTTTTTGTAAAAGAAAGCTTTATTTTCATTACAGTGCTCTTACATTTCCCATGGTCATTAAGTAGCTTTTGGGATCAAATTATACAGATAAACTGAGGCAAGGAAAAGATACAGTGTAGATAGGTATACAGATACAATGTTATCAGAAACAAATTAGGCACTGAGCTTGTAAACATATAAATATGAACTTGAGCTTGAGCAAGACCCTTGTTTCATAAGAAGTAGAAAAGGACGAGGGAGGCAGGCTTGGAAGTAGGCCACTGGCACATGACCTTAGAGCTATGTCTTGTGTCCACCCTTCTCTGCTTAGCCTTCAGAAGTGAGCTTCTCCCCACTGCAACCTCCCTGCAATCACTCTGGGACTGCCGACCAGTCCCTCTTCCCTTACATTGTTTCTGTTAGGTATTTTAGTCATCCCAAAGACTTTAGTTTTTGACTCATTAGTTAGGCTAGGATGGCTGACCAATGGGCTTCAAGAATCATCCTGTCTACATGCCTGCCCCTAATGCTCCAAGGCTTGCACTGTAATACACGTTTTTTTTCTGTGGGGTCTGGGAATCTGAACTCAGGTCCTTGTGCCCAGGTAGTGGACACTTTGTGGACTGAGCTATCTCCCTAGCTCTTTTCTACACATACACACCATTCCTCTCAGCAATGCCTCTCTGTGATGGCTCCAGGGAAGTCACCCACTCACAGAGAAAAAAGTGATTCAGTATAATCCATCGAGAAGTCATCTGGTGTAGATCTTCCTGCTGTTGGACTTTGTCAATGGATAATGTTCATGGCCACAGAATTTAGGCAATGCTCCCTAGATGAACTGCAAATTTTTAAAAATTGCATTTTATTTATTTATTTTGTGTAGGTGTATGAGTGCAGGCACATTTATGCCACAGCGCATGTGTTTAGGTCAGAGGACAGCTTGGGGAGTCTGTTCTCTCCTTCTAGTTAGTTCTGGAGGCCGAATTCAGGTCATCAGGCTTGGTAGCGAGTATTTTTAACCACTGAACCATTTTTCTAACCCCTTGGGTGAACTTTTGAAAGGTAATGCACAGCATGGATACTGAAAATTATTTCAGTTTCAGATACATACTTCAAGAAGCGTGTGTCTTCATGTGCCACGATGTGCAGGGTCAGGGACTTCACTAACCAGTAGAGCTGACTTAAGAGAGTCACACTAATGGAGTTCTTCAGGCTCCCCAAAGTATTCACCCCGAGAGATTCCAAAGTACAGAGCCATAATGAACAAATGCAGGTCTCGGCTTCCTCGTAACTTCACGTAGCTTCTCTTTTAACTGTACGTATTAGTCAAAAAATCCACGTAGGTAGAATGTAGTTATGAGTTCATTAACTTCATGGAACTGTATAAAACAAAGTATAATCCCTGAGCTTGCAGTTTAATTATTAGCTGGATAGTCTTGGTCAAGAAACTTAATCCTTGAAGCACCTGGTTGAATATCAGACATGATAGTTGTACAGTGTTTTCAGTGTAAGCTCCTTAAAAATGTTCTGTCTACACAGAATATGAAGAACCTTGAGGGAAGCATAGTTCCATAGAGCATCAGAATTCTTTATGAGCTCATTAGTCATGCCACAGGGACACATATGAGCTCGTTAGTCATGCCACAGGGACACTGTATTCCTAAATGAAAGCAAACAACGGTGCAATTGCAAATCTAATTCTCTTCTTTCTTACGTTTTTGAAATATTTCTGTGCTTGCCTCCTGTGTATGTGTATGAGTGTTTTGGGTCCCCTGGAACTGGAATTACAGGCAGGTGTGAGCTGCCATGTGGGTGCTGGGAACTGAACCCAGGTCTTCTGGAAGAGCAACCAGTGCTCTTAACCACTGAGTCATCTCTCCAGCCCATAACTCTAAATCGTTTTGTTTGTTTTTTGAGACTGGGTTTCTCTGTGTGCCTTTGGCTGTCCTGGGCCTGGACCTCACAGAGATCCACCTACCTCTCCTTCCCAAGTGCTGGAATCAGAGGTGTGTGCCATCACCAGGCTAGGTACAAATCTAATATTCCTAAGGGTGAATACTTCACCTTCATCCATAGTTGTCTTTCTAAAATGAAAAACTACCAGGGGGAGGGGTGAAGAGATGGCTCATTGGTTAAGAATATTTGCCACTCTTCCAGAGGACCAGGTTCAAAGCCCAGCACTCATGTGGGACTCACAGCGGTCTGGTGTTCCAGTTCCAGGAGACCCGACAGGCTATCTGGCCTTGAGGAGCCCCCCATGCTTGTGGTGTGTAGACATATATGCAAGCCAAACAATTATACACATAAAACAAAAAGTAAAGACAATGTTAAAAACCCGTTATGTAATAAAAAGAAGCATACTATGTGTAAGTTGTTTCCTTTAAAAAAAATCGTCAGTTACCATACAGGTCACCTTCAAGTGTAACAGTTACATGTACCACAGTCTGATTTTATTTGTATAGCCAAGCTTCCATGTTGGTTGGTCTGTCCATTTAAAGACACCTGTCAATTCTTCACAAGGCTCTGGCACACTGTGAGTGATTTAAACAGGACAAATAGTAGAAAAATAATTGATACCTGTTTCTAGATGCAGTATTTCTGTGTAACTGACTAAAATAATAGAAATTCTCTGAACTCATTTTTTGAAAAGAATCCATTCGATGCAGGTGATGCATTCCGGGGCTTCGGAGAAGACGATAACCAGGATGCCATGCCCTTCAGCACCTCAGATGTTGTTAACGATGGGTGCCGCCCTGCTTGCCTACTCAACAGTCAGTCAGTGAAGAGCTGCAGTCACCTCCACAGCAACACTGGCTGGTGGTTCAACCGGTGTGGTCTCGCCAACCTGAATGGCGTCCATCACAACCGTGGAAAACTGCATGCGGCTGGAGTTCAGTGGGGCACATGGACCAAAAACAACTCAGCTGTCAAGATCAAATCTGTTTCAATGAAGATTAGAAGAACTTACAACCCATATTTTAAGTAATCATTTTAAAGTGTAGCACAATTTCCGTAGTTATTTTTGAAACCGTGAAATTTTTTTACGTAGTTTCTTACTTAGGATTTTGCATACCAGCTAAAAATTGATCATAGATGGCATGTTAGTGTAAACCAGCTTTGTAGCACCTGTGACAGCAATCATGGTACATCATGATATGCTTTCTTTGCTATGTCCACACTATGTGATTGTTTGCAAGACACATACTGTTTTTAAAAGAATCTTCATAGTAAGTTGTTAGGAAAACTGAGGAGAGAATCTTACGTACTTTTGTACTTGTTTGCTTACTTACATAATTTACAGATAGTTTCTCCTGAAGACAGTTACAAGGAGTAAGATACGAGGATTGATATGTGAACACCACACGGTCAATAATTTTGCCAAGTGATACCACAGTACTTTTTTTCTTTTTCTGTTTTTTTGTTTAAATTAGAAACAAGCTTGCTTCACATGTCAATCCCAGCTCCCTTTCCATCCCATCCTCACCCGCCCCTACCAACCCCCTAGTTCCCCACCCCAACCTTCCACCCCTCCCCAGTGGGGGTGAGGCCCTCCATTGGGGTTCTCCAAAGTCTGTCATATCATCTAGGGCAGGGCCTAGGCCTTCCCCCATGTGACCAGGCTGAGAGAGCATCCCTTGATGTAGAATGGGCTCCCAAATTCCATTTGTATGCAAGGGATAAACACTGATCTACTACCTGAGGCCCCGTAGATTGCTGAGGTCTCCTCACTGACACCCATGTTCAGGAGGCCTGGATCAGTCCCATGCTGGCCTCTCAGCTATCAGTCTCGGTCCATGAGCTCCCCTTGTTCAGATCAGCTGTTTCTGGATACCACGATATTTTTAAAGCTGGTAATAATTTGCTGCTAAAATAAAATCTTTCACATTTTATCATGAATAATAATTTTGTTTTTATTTGTAACATATTTACTGTACATATATCCTGATCATTCTAACACACTTGTATTTTAAATTAATTTTAATGTTTGTCTTTTTAAGTGTTACTTGATCGCTCAGCCATACCTAGAACTCAGTATATGGCCCATACTGTCTTGCAAGTCACCATATAACTCAGGCTGACCCGGAACTTGTGGCACGCTTGCTTCAACCTCTTGATCACGGCTTCTCTGATCCTCAGCTTGAAACTTGAACCCCAATATCTGTATCTGGGTTTTTATTGACCATGTTGCAGATCTCTCTTACGTGTTAGGAATCTGGAATCCAAGCACAGGCCTTTGCCTTCTTGTCCTTTCCCTGAAAGGCTGGTGAGGAGGGCGATGCGGGTGCTCACAGATGCCTGGTTAGGCCCTCACCTGCTTCCCACCACACCAGGTGTCATGCATCAACTATTCTGTGTGAAGAGCAAACCCACCCTTGTGTCAATTCTGAAGCAACGTTTAGAAGATGATCTAAAGGAGGCGTTTGGAAGGTATGGGGTGATGTACTGGTCTAAAGGAGGCGTTTGGAAGGTATGGGGTTATGTACTGATCTAAAGGAGGCGTTTGGAAGGCATGGGGTGATGTACTGGTCTAAAGGAGGCGTTTGGAAGGCATGGGGTGATGTACTGGTCTAAAGGAGGCGTTTGGAAGGCATGGGGTGATGTACTGGTCTAAAGGAGGCGTTTGGAAGGCATGGGGTGATGTACTGGTCTAAAGGAGGCGTTTGGAAGGCATGGGGTGATGTACTGGATGATTGGAATCGTTTTGGACCAGACTTGCTGTTGGTGCTCACAGTGGTTTACTATCTGAGGAATGATGTGAGATTGTCACGTGACCTATGCTTCTGATTCAAATGAGCACACCTGCCTCAGAAAGTTTGCAGAGGCGGAAACGAAAATTAAAGACGTTGAAAAATGCAAAAGGCTACTTTTAGTGTAGGGATGTTGTTTTCAGTAAATGCTGAATTTAAGAAATCAAATATTTGTATGTGGCACTAAGGAATTTAATGCATTAAACAGCTGTGAAGAGACTGTAGGCATTTAATTTTCCACAAATGCTGAAGCATTTTTATTCAGTGAGGTTAGGCTTCTGAAATGGTAATAAATGGCATAACAAAACTTTGATTAAGGGTATATGATTTAAAAAAACAACTTGAAAACATTTAATCTTTAATAATATTATAATTTCATACTTGTGTGTATGTGCTATTAAAAAAGCATAGACAATTCACAGACAGCTCAAAGTGATACCCACCATAGCTTTAATGACACCAGGGGCGATCAGAGTAGCTAATAGCCTGGTAGTTAAGCTCTTCAGTCTTCTACTATACACATAAGAATGTAAACACTGGACCTACTGTTGTTCAGACAAGCCTCCGTGAAGAAGTGAGAATGGGGTTAGGAAAGCAGGGCCCATTGGTCAATCATCTGCCACCATTTTGGCCAATGAATTTTCACTGGAATGCAAGCATGGCCACTCATTTATGCCTGTATCTTCATTCATGCTGCAAGAACAGAGCTTAAGAACTTCCATCAAAACCGTATGCATTGTATGGAATCTTGAAATTCACAGGCAAATGGATTGAACTGGAAGAAACCATCCTGAGTGAGGTAACCCAGATACAGAAAGACAAACATGGTATGTAGTCACTCGTAAGTGGATTTTAGACATGGCACAAAGGATAACCAGCCTACAACCCATAACCCCAGAGAGGTTAGGAAACAAGGAGGACCCTAAGAGAGACACACATGGACCCCTGGAGAAGGGGACAAAATCACCCGAGCAAATTGGGAGCATGGGGGGGGTAGGAGAAAGAGGAGGGGAGGAGAACATGAGAGATCAGGAAGATCGAGTTGGGGGAAGAATAGAGAAGGAGAGCAAGAAAAGAGATAGCTCAATAGAGAGATCCATTATGGGTTTAAAGAGAAATCTGGCACTAGGGAAATGTCCAGGGATCCAGAAGGATGACCCCAGCTGAAGGGCACATGAGCCAGTTAAAGAAGGTCCCGAGGGGAAGTCAGGAGGGTGAATCCTGAGATGTTTACAAAAAAAGGGTGATTGGGTGCCAAGATCGAACCAGATGAGGTTACTGCATGAATGGCTCGTGCCCACTAGGTGAAGCATAGGGCACCTAGGCACGTGATAGGCTGACCTTTAAAACCATTGGCTGGCTGTTTTCCCACTCTGCGGTTTTTTGTTTTAAAAGATGCTTGCAGTGGGGCAATAAATGAGTTCATGCTTGACCAGACTGCCTGCTGCATCTGATTGTCTCCGAGATCCTGGGATGATGGGGGATGGGTGAGCAGCGCACTTACCCTTCCTCGCACCCAGCTCAGTCTTCTGTGGTTGGGCTAAGACCCTGCACCCAACTAAGAATCTAAGCAATAGTGGAGAGGTTACCTTAAATGCCCTTCCCCTACAATGAGATTGACAACTACCTTAAATGCCTTCATAGAACCTTCACCTAGTATCTGATGGAAGCAGAGATTCACAGCCAAGCACTGAGAAAATTCCTGAAATCAGTTGTATTGAGGGAGGAGTGATGAGCAAAGGGGTCAAGCCATGCTAGGGAAACCCACAGAAACAGCTGACCTGATCAAGTGGGAGCTCAGGGACCCCAGTCTGACAGGTGGGGAACCAGCATAGGACTGAACCAGGTCCCCTAAATAAAGGTATTAGTTAGGAGACCTGGGCAGTCTATGGGGCCTCAGGCAGTGGACCCAATATTTATTATCCCTGGTGCACAAACGGACTTTGCAAGCCCATTCCCCATGGAGGGATACTGTCTTAGCCTAGATACATGGGGGAGGACCTAGGTCCTGCCTCAAATGAGGTGTCAGACTTTGATGATTCCCCCATTGGAGGTCTCACCCTCCCTGGGGAGTGGGATGGGGGGTTGGTAGGAGACATGGGAGGATGGAAGGGAGAGGGAACTGGGATTGGTATGTAAAGTAAGATTGTTTTTAATTTAGATAAAACTGTATGCATTATGAAGGCATACTATCATCTAATGTATTGTAAAGGGGGTACTGCCATCTGTATGCACTAAAGGGGGCATTACCATCTGTATGCATTGTAAAGGGAGCACTGCCATCTGTATGCACTGTAAAGGGGGCACTACCATCTGTATGCTGTAAAGGTGGTGCTGTCATCTATATGCATTGTAAAGGGTGTACTATCATAACCATTTCATAACAATGAGAAATTGAGAGGATCCATCAGAGATTAAGCTGACTGGGCAAGGAAGATCTCTATATCTCTATATATGGATATATAGTTGGATCTTGATAGAGAATTCCAGATTAAGCTAAAAAAGTTTGTCAATCTCAGGCCAGATTTCAGGTCTTACTCCACAGCGAAGTTCCTCTTACCTAATTTCTTCTTTTTCACGAGACAAGGGGTCCATCTGTTCCCTAAGAATGGGACATCATATACTTAGCAAATGACAGACATTCAACACTCTTTCAAAGACTAGTTGCTATGACTTTGTGGTATCTTTGGAAAGGTTTGCCTGCAACTATGATCAAATAGGTTATTTTAGGAAATTTCCTGTGGCTTTCTAGAGAGTGTTCCTGGATACTGGAAAATGGCTTCATCAGGATGTTTTGTATATCAGATTTCCCCTCAAGTGCCAGTATAATTGGCTTCAAGTTCTTGGTCATTAAAAAAATAGCCAAGAGTCAAGCAGGCAATTTGTATAGTTTATGCACACACCAATAGGGATAAGCTCTGAACACCAGTGAACTCTATGACTTCATTCTGTGCTAATCTGGGTTTAAAGGACTCTGGCTAGTGAGCACAGGTAGGAAGTCCTGGTATCGTATGGTTACAGCACAGAACTGGATCCGCAAAGTCACACAACTGCTTGTATTGGCACCTCTTCAACCTTGACCTTCCCTTCCCCATCTTGCTAATGTCTTCAGAAGGAAGTTTCACCTTTGAAAGAGAAGTGTTTATATGGGTCTGTTTCTACTGATTCTTGAGGTGTTTCACATGTGAAGTCTTGGGACTCCTCTGTCTTTAGCTAAATCTTGGACCTCCCAGTTCCCAGGTTTTCCCTGTAAGGGACTTTGGCTGATGGGCCTCCTGGATGTGTCCTTATGTGGATACTCACTTCGGTCTTCCACAGGGAGAACATAAAGCAGATGTGACGTACATGGAGAAACTGTCCATGGCTATCAACTGTCACTCAAATTTGTAACGGTGGCATTTGTGTCTGAGGGTAACTCATCCATCCTTCCTCTTTTCAGAATAAACAGCCATGGTCCCTGTGGACAGGAAGAAAGTGGCATGAGGCTTGACTCACACAGAGCAAGGCTGGAACAAAGAATGGGAGATGAAGCTGGGGTGATGGCAATCAGTGTTTCATGTATTTTAGCTTGAAGTTCTTGACCCTGTACATCCGGAGTCTTGAAGACTTCCTGCCACAGGTTAAGGACAGTCAGCTTTCACTCTGCGTGAATGGAAGGTGTTTTATAAAGCTCCATGAAATTCCTGCTTCAGCATTGCTGTTCTCACATAGATACCATTAGGATCAACTTTCTTTGCTTGCAGTGTTAGGGCTGGTGCCTGGAAGGTTCATGGCAAGGGGTCTACTATTTCTCCGTACATTCAAAGAATGTTCTACCTCATTGACGGGGTCTCGTGACCCATCCCTAATATAAATCCCCGAGTTAGCCTCACAGCTCTGAAATAGCTAGACCTGTGGTACACTTTTCAGA